GTCCTGCTAGGAAAACATGAAATAAACCAACACCAGGAGACAGAGAAAGGATGGCTTGAGCAAGTTAAGGAGAACTCTGAAGGCCATAAGCCTCTCCCTCAGTTTTTTACTCCTGGCCACTCAACTCGGTGAGAGGGTCAGTGCAGAACCTGGACAAACAAGGCAGATTTTGCCCACTCAAGTTTACTCCTGTTTACTGCTGCCACAAGCAGGCTCCATGAACTCAGCAGGCGATAGGATCAACAAGAACTGGCTGCCAACATCTTTAGCCTGCTGTGCTGGTTTTAACCGGGGTAGAGTTAATTTTCTTCACAGTAGCTACTATGAAGAGACTATGTTCTGAATTTGTGCCGAGAATAATGTCTCACCCTCCAAAACAGTCTTTCGAGGTCTTTGACTCAAGACCACCACACAAATAACTGCCACTGTTTGCCTGCACCTGTTGTTCCTTACATTTGAGGTCATTAGGGGGACAGTATTTTGGTTATGCACACTCAGCAAAGGAGGGTTTGGTTCACAAGTAGAACTTAGAAGCTACACTAAGAACTATCCTTACATAAGCCAGTCTTAAATCCAAAGAGTTCCTACTTCTGTTCCTAAAAATAGACATTTCAGAGCTGTGTGACATTAAGAACATCATCTGAGACATCTGGATAAAAAACGATTCAAGACATTTGTGTGTCTCTCTACAGGGATATAAAAATACACAGTACTGGGGAACATTACTATGGAAACAAGGTCTGTTTAAGAGAACAGCTGTTCCTGTTTACTCCTTGCCCCAAGTAAGAAACTTCACAACCATAGTCTCGCAACATCCATTAAAGACTCAAGGTAGGAAAGCAGACTTGACATTTATTATAAACAACCAATTTACTATTTCAAGAGATTTTCCAAAATGGAAACAAAGGAGTCCCTCTACACCAGCAGAGCATTCTCAAAACAGCCTGCTAACAACTGGAACTGGCTAGTCCTCCACTAGCATTAGGTCTTACTCTAATTTCAAAACTGAAAGCTACTTCAGTGATTAAGACCAGAATTAACCTAGTTACTGGGGAGCTATGTTTGCAGCATCTTATCACACCTACTGGTCTTCACCTGTTGTAGAGTTTCTCAACAGGGATAGCTCTGTTAAGCTTTATGAGACATGAAACTGTTTTCAGAATTTCCTATGATAAAACGTTGCATGATGCTATGCTGAAGTATGAAGTCCATCCAGATATTCAAATCAGAGTGGTATAAGTCACTATCTTCAAGAGAAAAAGCAAGCAGGAAATTATGTATACCGCCTTTTTTCAGATAAGATAATTCTTATATTTCAGATTTTTGTAAAACTTGCAAATAATTTTAATACTTGCATTTTACAGCTAATGAATGACCACAATTCAGATGCATGAGACTACAATACTAGAACCCCTATCCTTCTGCCATCCTGGCCCACCAATGTCTCCTCACCTGTTTGTCCATTTCATGTCACAGGATTTTAAGATGTCTGTCAAGAGCAGCAGGGAGAACTAACAGGTGGTATCTTACAAACACACCCATTCTCACACTTCACCAGCAATTTGTGCCTAAAAGAATCCTGGGTTTGCTGCATCAGACATCTAACCTCAGAGCAGAGTGCAGAAAACATCCCAGGACTAGTCCTTAGCTACTCTTCCCCATTAATATGCTCACAATCAACACCGAGTTAGGTTAAAGGTTAAGGTTAAAAATGAAGGCCTGTATTTGCACATAGGCAATTAGAAAAAGTTGTGTCATCATACCTGCTCCATGCCTTTACTGTACAAGTCTTTCGCTCCTGCCACAGCAGCAAGATTGTTCGCCTCGGCTGTTGCCTGGAAAACATTGAGCACCGTGTATCATCACATTACCAGCTATTTACATACACGTAGTTACACTGCCCAACATACTCCCACAGCCTCAAAAGCTTCCAATTGCCAGGAAAATGCCCCACAGAAACAAGTGAAGGTTAGTAATATACATTAAAACAGATAACTGACTAGGAGAACGTTTTCTTCAGCTTTCTAGCACTGCAGATAGACTTCCACGTGCTTGAACAGGCTTTTCATCATGAGCAATCTCTTCTGAACGCTCTATTGCTAATAAGCAAATAAAGATCACTAAACTACTAAATGTTAATCCTGATATATCACCACCCGTGAGGAAGGAAGCAAGCTGGTACTATTCCTGCATTGTGTATGTGCAGTTTCAGTGTCAGAATTTCTAAGAACTTAAGACTATTTTCAACCTGTGTCACATCGGGTGACATTCTAGCTAATGCTGCAAGATGTCATCTTCTGTCTCTTCCAGCCGCATTCATGGCATGCTAAGCAGAAGAAGTGATAGCAGCCTTTGTGGCACTATGATGAGTTTTCTGAACTCCCCCAAAATGCTAAAGAATTGGTTCCCTGAAGGACAAGAGAACAGTCATGTCTTACTGAAGGGACACAGGAAACTTAAGAAAACCCAAGTCTTACAAGCACAAAATGGTTAAAACAGACCGTAAGTCCCACACTTTGGTGAAAGCTCTTCATCCCAAACAATTCAAAGGTTCACCTCACAGCTTTATACAATCCGTTTGTGTTCAGATTGCTTTAAAGCTGATTACAACCTCTTTGGATCAACCCAGAAAAGAAACCTCAATGCAGTTATCCAATCTAACAAGCCCACATAGAGTAGCCCAACACTGCAAGACAGTGGTGATGGCTACATTATTATAAGCCTTCTCCATTTTATTTGCTGCATCTGATGCTAAAAGCCCTCTGAGCAATGTTGACAAAACAGCAAGTTACAAGAAACATGAGTAGAAACTGAAGCAGCTGAAAAAACACAATCAATCAGATAAACCCCTACTCCGTTTGGTAGATGGAACTGACGGAAGACACAGGCTACACAGTTCAGATGGCTTTCAGAGTACACAGCTCCTTCAAGAACAACAGCTCTGTGTGTGTGAGCTTCAGACCAACAGCTGTCACGACCTTCAAATGCAAAGTACTTAAAGTACATATCATCTATCAGATTATTTAAAAGAAAAATAAAATACCTGCAGCATAGATTTTGGATGAGGTAGCTCCTCTCCTTGATAGATTTTAATATAAGCCTAAATGGAAGAAAAAAAGAAAAGGTTTTTTTCCTAAGCATTTATGATTAAGGAGGAGAAACAAGGGATGATATAAAGATAAAGCTCATAGATTGTTTCTTTGTAATAATGATAAATATTCAATTAAGCAAGTTGCTTCACACAAGTCTGGCATTCTCACAGTTCTCTCTCATGCTTTAATCCCTGTACTTTCCTGTGCATTTGGGGCTGGGACCTACCAGGGTAGCAGAGCACCTTGAGGAGACATGAACACTATCTCAAGTTGACAGCAGATTTCTGTCCCTCAAACACATGAGAGGGTCTTTGCTAGGCAGGGAATTTTCACCCAAAACAGAAGAGTGAAGATGACTCTCTCACACATCCTTTCTGGCAACAGGTATGTCCAAGCACACCCCAGTGCTGGGAGAACCAGTATTTACATTTCCCCATATACCTTGCTTCCTTGAAGTGCGGGAGGAGAAAAAGCAGATCAAAGCAGTAATGCAGAAAGAGCTGAGCTGACAAAAATACTTCTGGGAAGCCAAGCAGGCAGCCTATCCCTGTTCCCCACCCCACCAAACCTCAGGTGCCTTTTCTTTCACTAGGGTTTCTGAAGGCTGGGAGAGAACACATCCTTCATGTCTTCTTCTCCAGCCCACAAGATGGCCAAGGACACAGCTTTTTGGGACAGATGAGCACAGAGTGTGTAGCGGGCAACAGTGGCCATTTTGGTGCTTTGGACAAGCTGTACAATTAGATCAACAAGGCCATTCCTCAGAGGCTGGGCAGTTATCTCCCTCATGCTACTACTGCTCTCCCCCCACCCTGCTTGAGGGTTTTTCTCTGTAAAAGAGAAGAGAACAAGGTTATCAGGGTCCCTATATACCCAGTGCTCTAGGTTGTAGGACAACCTACAAAAACGTATAGAGTTATACAGGACTCTGCTCCCTCGACACCCTCCAGTTTCCAGCTCCAACTTCAGTCTGGGCTTGGCATGCAGAGTCCCCGGGGAGCAGCCCTCTTTAGTTACGCAATCACTGCGTTTCCGCAGCACCCTGCTCCGCTGCTCCCCGACCGGATACGGGACATTGGCCGGGCAGCTTTCCAACAGAGGTGGTTTACACTCGGTTTTTTAGAGCGCAGCCCCTTCTAAACCGCTGTTGAACAGGCACTCCCTGCACTGCATAGGATCAGGTGTTACTTGAGGAGAAAGTGGCACAAAAAGCAGCATGCAAGCATGTAAATACAGAAAATGAACACGTATGCTCAAAAGTAGTAACGCAAAATTAGTATCTTTAGGAACGAGTGCCACTTTCTCCTACCAAGCCAACTGCCTAGGTCATTCCAATTCAAAAACAAACCAGACCAAGTCCTGGTGATGTAAGGATTATGTTACCGCATTTCTGCTGGTGTCACCACAATAGCAAAACAGCTCAAGAGTGTAACAGCTGCAAGTATCATACACAAATATTTCAGAGCACATAGTGGCACTGCACATGCAAACGTTTAAGAAAGTATCTTCCTTGCACGTCAGGAATCCAGAGGGGACTATCTGAAATTTTCACCACATACCTAGCAGTTTAAGAGCTGTTTTTTTATCTGTACAATTACACGAGACAGAAAAAAAAGTGCAACATATCCAGAAAAACTAGAATTTCAAAGTAGGAAAAAAAAATCTCTAATATACTATTTCAGTCTATTTACAAGAACAAAACAAAACAAAGCACAATTTTGTCAGTAGCAGCTAGGAAGTCGTGTGCCAGTTCTGGAAAGTCAGAGTAATGAAATGAAAATAAAGTGAGCTGATCGGTGAGCATCAGCCTAGATAGCTCATCTTCTCTGGGAACAACATGCCCTAAAATTAGCTTACTTCCTTTTAAGCCATTAACAGAAATAATTAGTATGAGTTTGCTTACCTTGAAGTATTCTACAAGATCTCTACAGGTCACCTTGGATCCACTAATCTCTTTTTCTACCAAGTTTTCAGGGGCAAGCAGTAATGGTACCAAATTCCTCAGTTCTTTCTTAAAATCCTCATCTATATCTAGTAAAATTAAATAAATTTCATAAAAAGAGTGGTTAGGGTTTTGCTGTTTGGGGTTTTTCAGGTTAGGTTTTTTTGTGAGTTTTTTTGTAGTGGTTTGTTTGTTTTTTTTCCAATCTTACATTTCCTAAAGGAACACCAATAACCCATGACCCTTCAAAATCCACAGCATCACAACTCCTGACTGCATTTTTAAGGTATTTAAAGTTTTAAATACATAACATAGCTTTAGTAAGTTCTACCTACTTTTTAATCTTAAATTCAGACTGAGAGAAGAGAGTTCAGAAGGCCCTGTAATATTTAAACTGCATTTCCCCAATTATACCAACATGTTACAACATAATTATCCCCCAGGTCTGTGCCCTCAGCATCCCACTATCACAAAGCCACTCTTTCAGCCTTTGCCTTTCTGATACATTCCCTCTGACAGAGGACAAGCAGCAACTGGAGGAATCCCGACTGCCCCTCACTCTGCAGTAGCAGAAGCCTACAGCTTTTATTTTAGAGCCAAAGTTTTTGAGCTTTGGTTTAGGAAGTTCTTAGAGAAAAGCCTTCCAGTTTTAAGAAAGTAAAGTCTTTAATTTTGTGAATTCTCCTCTCCGGAATCCTTATTTAATAACCTTTAAGTATGTCTCAACGTATCAGACTACAGTCAACACCTCAACAAAGATACCCACTCCCTTTGCCTGCTTAACTCCTTTACTTTTAAACCACTGAAAGTAACATAAAATGCACATTTCTGGATTCCATAGGTTCACCTTTTAGCCCTGTATTTTTCCAGTCAAGCATTTCAATAGCTAACCATTTCAGTGTTTAAACTTCCATTATAAAAGAAAATAAATGCAGTTATCTGAATCAAGAAACACACAATGGAAAGCTTCCTACCATTCAACCTCCCATCAAAATTTGGATTTGTTGCAACTTTAAGACCAGGGTGGGGCAACAGGAAACAGCCAAGATTACTGAAACAGGAGTGAATATGCTTCCTTACATTCTGTAGCTCTTCATGTTGGTTTTGCTTTACCTGAAGGAGAAAAAAAAAAAAGGGCATTAGAACTAACAGTTTTGCAGCACCACAACTAAGGATCAGCTTAAAAGCAGTAAGAGCACAAAACTGTTTAAGATTTCATTCCTGAACCTAAAGATGTCAAGTTATGAATCCCAGAACTCTGCACACCAGTGGAAACATCACAAAAGTATTTTATTAGCACAAAGTTAGCTCATTGTGCATCATTATCTTGAGAGTAAGTTGTGACTTAAGTGAGAAGACCACACTAGGACTACTGGAAATAACTTACCTGTAATCTTTTCTCTAGGAACTTTCTTCCTCCTTCCAAGCCATATGCATGCTCATAAGGATAACTCCAATCTCTAATTAAGAACATTAGCGTCTGTAACAGGAAGAACAGCAGCAATGAACAGCTTGAATTATTCTTAAGGTCAAAAACTACCACACATTATTACTTTAAGTAAAAAAAAAAAAAATCTAAGGTTGGATGCTCTAAATGAAGAAGCTTTGTAGTTTTGTGGTGGAAAAAACAAACAAAAACACCCACCCAACCCAATCCACACATCAAACACACAAATACAATTCACTTCTTATCTGAGAATACCAAAGTGTCTCAAAAAGAGAGCTTCCCTGGCTTGCCTTTTGCTATCCCACAAGGATTACACTGTCCTCTCTCCCATCAGCTGAAGACAGAAAACAAATCTTGACATCACTCTTATATCAGATGAATTGCTTTATGACAAATGCATCTTGCTTGAGCCAATCACAAGAACATTGGGGACTCACACTTGCAGGCTGAATATTCTAGACACAAAACTCACCACTACCGGCAGCCAACTGGCACCTTTATAGGTTAAGGAGGATACTCCAAGATGGAAGAGATCTCAATCTGTCTCCACTAAATGGAAGAAGCCTCAAACTCTTCTCTGGCCCAGCAAGTCAGGAGAAGCTAGCAGTTCTGAGACTTCTAATGCTGAAGCCAAAATGCAACATGGCCCTCCTCAATGCTATTTCTTAGAGGCCACACAACCTATACTCAGAACCATATACCACCAGCAAAGACCAATTGTACCTCAAAGAGTAATGAGTAAGAAGGAGCACAAAACTTCTCTTTAAAATCTGCATATAATTTGCCACTTTCATCCATTTTACACCATATAACTCAGGCAATGGAGCTACACTCGCCCAAAATGTGATCCTCTTCAGCATTTTTCCATTGTGTTTTTGCCAAGAAATGTGGTGACAGGGAAGGAAAATCAGTCTTGTAAAAACCAGGCTAGCTTCAGTCCAACTAATTTCTCTTTATAAATTACCCTGAGCTTATCTGCTACACATTCAACTGCTTCAGATCCATTCAACACGTATAGTTACCTGAAACGGCTTTTGGTAAATTTCTTCCATAGCTAGTCTTCCATATTCTGTAAACAACTAATAGAAAGAAGAGCGTAAGGGTACCACATAAATCACATTTTTCTACTGTAAAATATTATGTCACTAGAAAATAAAGCATTCAATCTTAAATCCTATTATGGACTGAGAAAGGCTAATACACGTTGAGAATAAGTACATCAATCTTCAGTAAAATTCAGGAAGCAGACGTGATTTCTACTGGGTTCACAGTGCCCTTCCACAACTGTCAAGGCACTGCAGTTTTAAGTGGGGGGCCTGTGGGCTGTTCTGGGAGGAAAGCTGACTGCACCTCTCAGCAAGCCCATTTCCAACACTCATTTCCCAGGCTAACGAGGTAAGTGTGTCTAACATCCGCCCCTTACTTCCCACAAAAGATTTATTCCTGGAAAACTCAGAAGAACTTGGCTAGAGCCAATGTATTGGACATTTAAATACAAGCCAAGTTCAGCAGCTTCCCAGATCTCTACTTCAGCCTGTGACTTTAATTGTTCTTTCCTTGCAGTATAAAGGCAAGTGTCAGCTGTCTTCCTCTTGCTGCTTTCGCTATCTTTAATACCACCAGCAGCAGGATTCTTCACCAGACTGAGCAGGCCAGACAACTCACGAGAGCACAAACTATGGACTGTGCTGGCTGTTTCAGCAGAGGTCCATACTGTCAGATGTTGATCCATGAGAGCTCCCTTACGGATCTTGGAGGTCAAAATGAAGGAAGCACACCAGTATCCTCCAGCACCAGGCAACTGTTCTGCTGCATTAAAACTAACTCTTGAAATATCTTGGATTCTAATTTCATAGCTAAAAGGACAGTCCCTCGTGTTGATCATAACAGCATCTGAAAACCTACAAGACTAATTTAACACAAATGAATTTCCAAGCCCTTGTTACCCTGAGCAAAAGAAGCTCTGAAGTGGCCAAGCACTCACATAAGACTGTCTCCTTTGATCCCAACTCCCTACCCTATTCACTTCCCTGTTACACGGGAAACATGGGAAAGGCAGCCAGATGCTAACAGTATTTGAGAACAAGAAAAATTCAGAATTTCCCTTCCTCAGCCCACGACTCCTTGCACCAACTTTAAAGGCATGCGCGTCCCCTACCCACTTATTATATTTATCACCCTTCTCCTCCCTTTCTTCCCTCAATCTCACCCTCCAGGATAACAGAAAAGGATCACTCTATTCAGATTGCACTGAGGCTGTCAAAGGACAGAAGGCATGAGGAAAACCTGGCTTTCAAATAACTAGCTATGGCTTTTTTTGTTTGCAGTGCTCGGTTGGGTTCACCTTTTTTTTTTTTTTTGAAGGGGTGGGGGGCTGTTGGCACAGTGATACAACTCTGTTAACTGAGAACAGCATCACAAGACTATGTTTAGTTAGTGCTCTTCTACTCCCAGTACTGGCAGCCAGTCTTTTGCAGCACTACCAAGACAGAAGTCCTTTCAATCAGAAGACACGTTAAACAGTTTTAAGCTGTGACAAGGTCATGGCCTGAGCACAGGCAGGCATTTGTTAATACACAAGCTCGCCTCTAAAGCTACAGGTTTTAAGTTAAGGAGATAAGGTTCTTGCATCATTCACATGAAGCCAGAATTCAGTGGCCTTTGACCACGATATTCCATAGAGGATGAAAAACTCACAGTAAAGAGAAAACAACTCTTTCCTGTTTTTGTTACCAAGCAGAAATCATATAATCATAGAATGCGTTGGGTTGGAAGGGACCTTTAAAGGTCATCTAGACCAACCCCCCTGCAGTGAGCAGGGACATCCCCAACTAGATCAGGTTGCTCAGAGCCCCATCAAGCCTGGCCTTGAATGTCTCCAGGGATGGGGACTCCACCACCTCACTGGGCAACCTGTGCCAGTGTTTCACCACTCTCATATTGAAGAACTTCTTCCTAATGTCTAATCTAAATCTACCCTGCTCTAGTTTAAAGTCATTACACCTTTCCTATTGCTACACACCCTTGTAAACAGTCCCTCTCCTCTTTCTTATAAGCCCCCTTCAGGAACTGGAAAGCTGCAAAAAGGTTCCCCTGGAGCCTTCTCTTCTCCAGACTGAACAACCCCAACTCTCTCAGCCTGTCCTCATAGAGGAGGTGCTCCAGCCCTCTGATCATCTTCATGGCCCTCCTCTGGACCTGCTCCAACAGCTCCATGTCTGTTTTGTGCTGAGGGCTCCAAAGCTGGACGCAGTACTCCAGCTGAGGTCTCACCAGAGCAGAGCAGAGCGGCAGAATCACCTCCCTCAACCTGCTGGCCACACTTCTTTTGATGCACCCCAGGATGTGATTTGCCTTCTGGGCTGTGACCATGCATTACTGGCTCATGTCCAGCTTTTTGTCCACCAGTACCCCTAAGCCCTTCTCTGCAGGGCTGCTCTCTATCACATCATCCCCCAGCCTGTATGGATAATAAGGATTGCCCCTACCCAGGTGCAGGACCCTGCACTTGGCCTTGTTGAACCTCACGAGGTTCACACAGGCCCACTTCTCCAGCTTGTCCAGGTCCCTCTGGATGGCATCCCATCTCTCTGGCATGTTAACCGCAGCACTCAGCTTGGTGACGTCTCCAAACTTGCTGAGGATGCCCTCGATCCAACTGTCTGTATTACTGATGAAGATACTAAACAGCTCTGGTCACAGTACAGACCCTTGAGGGACACCACTTGTCACCCATTTCCATCTGTACATCGAGCCATGGATCGCTATGCTCTGTACAAGCTTCTCAGTTGAAAAACTGGAGACGGCTTCTAGGTGGAAGATACTTCCTGCTCTGACCCAGCCTCCCACATTTCTTTAGAAACCAGTTTTGAAATACCATCCATTTTCTTATTTTAGGGAAAAAGAAGAAACACTGAAATATTCTAATTAAGTACTTCCATAAATCATTTCCCTTTGTCATCCTTTCGGGAATTTCAGAACTTGCCACATAGAGGACAGCCTTTAGAAAGATAAGATTTAGCTGGATTAGAAGCCTGTACTATTTTACCTTTCCATTGGCACAGCAGAAGCATCACAGCATCATGGGGTTGATGCCAGTTTTAGCATCAGGTCAGCTTAAGTATTTTACATGAAGTAGCAGGCAGCTCCCAAATCACAATTACATTAGTAGTAACTTCAAGAACAATTTAAGACAATCAGTTCAGAAGCAGCTTAATATGAATTCAGCATATTCTTACCTGCAAATGTTGAAGGTCATCTTCCTGAATATTCTGGGACAAGTTGTATACCTGCAAGGGACAGTAAACGAATTAGTGTAACAAAACAAGTATCTTACATTCATGTAGTCTCTTTTTGGTATCTTGAGTATTTTCACTCCCTCCAGAAAAGTCTAACTACCCAAAAGTCAGCAACTAGAAAGGTGTCATAGAACACATCTCAAACAGAAGTCACTTCCTTATACAAAGTGCTAGGGACAAAACCACTGCTGACTACCCTAATCCTTCTTAGAACAGCTTCTTCCCATGGAAGCAAGCCATAAAGGGATCAGAGAAGACTGCTGAACGCTTCAAATCACCACATAGGTGTGAGACAGGAGGATTGAGAAGAGCAAATCTGTTTTCCACCCTCAAGTCTAAGTGCTCTAGGATTCAGTGAACCAGCAGATGCATCTCCAACACAGAAATGACAAGTAGTTAGCTCACCAGGTTTTTTTTTGCTTTTACATCTTCCCAGAGAAATCTGATTTTATCCAGGACGCTCATCACTGTTTCAAGAGCACGCATACTGAACAGCAGTAAACTCAAAGATGCATCAATAACCCACAACTTATCTTAACCACAGGAACAAAACAAAAACAAACAAGAAAAGCGAAACAAACAAAAAACAACCCCACAGAGGTGTAGTGTTCTACATACTCCTGTTATTTTTATGTCCTAGCACATCTGAAGAAGGTCACTTGTCATGGCTCAAAACCTGCCCACTTTCAGCACAGTTAAGGCACAAGCTTAAAAGTAGTTTTGAGCATAGCACAAGAGAATCATCAGAAGTTTAACAGTAAGAGTAATTTTAAGTTTAGCTGATCAGTGTAATTACACCCCAAGCTGTATACACCTGCTTAGTGGATGAGAGAAAGGTTGCGGATGTAGTGTACCTGGACTTTAGTAAAGCCTTTGACACCATTTCCCACATAATTCTACTGGAGAAACTGGCTGTCCATGGCTTGGACACATTTACTCTTCGCTGGGTAAAAAACTGGCTGGAAGGACAGGCCCAAAGAGTGGTAGTGAATGTAGTTAAATCCAGTTGGTGGCTGTCACAAGTGGTGCTCCCCAGTGCCCAGTACTGGGGCCAGGATCAAGTGCTCCCTCAGTAAGTTTGCAGATGACACTAAGCAGGGCCGAAGTGTTGATCTGCTTGAGGGTAGGAAGGCCCTACAGAGAGATCTGGAGAGGCTGGATTGATGGGCTGAGGCCAATTGTATGAGGAGGTTTAACAAGGCCATGTGCCAAGTTCTGCACGTGGGTCACAACAACCCCATGCAATGCTACAAGCCTGAGGATGAGCGGCTGGAGAGCTGCTTGGCAGAGAAGGATCTGGGGGTACTGGTTGACAGCTGACTGAACATGAGCCAGCAGTGTGCCCAGGTGGCCAAGAAGGCCAACAGCATCCTGGCTTGTACCAGAAATAGTGTGGGCAGCAGGACTGGGGAAGTGATCCTTCCCCTGCACTCAGCACTGGTGAGGCCACACCTCAAATACTGTGTTCAGTATTTGGGCCTCTCACTACAAGCACATTGAGGCACCGGAGTGTGTCCAGCAAAAGGCAACAAAGCTGTTGAGGCGTCTGGAGCACAAGTCTTGTGAGGAGCAGCTAAGGGAACTGGGATTGTTTAGTCTGGAGAAGACTGAGGGGAGACCTTATTGCTCGCCAAAACTATCTGAAAGGAGGTTGTAACAAGGCGGGCGTCAGTCTCTTCTCACAAGTAACAAACTATAGGACAAGAGGAAATGGCCTCAAGTTGCACCAGGGAGGTTTAGATTGGATATTAAGAAAAATTTTTTCACCAAGAGGGTTGTCAAGCATAGGAACAGGCTGTCCAGGGGAATGGTTGAGTCACCATCCCTGCAGGGATTTAAAATATGGGTAGATATGGTGCTTACGGACATGGTCTAGTGGTGGACTTGCCAGTGACAGGTTAACTGTTGGACTCAGCAGTCTTAAAGGTCTTTTCCAATTTAAGTGATTCTATGATTCTAAAAGTCTTAAAAAAGATTCTGTAACACATCTGTACTTTGACACCTTTCTTTGAGATTCCTCAGCTCAGTCAACAATTTAACTCAGCTTGGCCTTGGATAAGTTTCTCTGTGCAATCAAGGCTATGTAGTATACTACACGGAAAAGACGACATTAAATATGAAAATTTAAATCATAGCTGGAGGAAGATATGAACTTTCAAAGTGTGGCTAGAGATATATTCTTCGCACGTTCAGGCTAGAGGGCTCCTATAGCTGCCATTATTTGCCAGCACAGGTATTCTCACCTGGACAGAACTCGTCATGGTGCTCAGAGCAAAAACCGTTGCACAGTCTTTGATAGTGGATTGGCTATCAAAGGCACCTTGGGTATCCATGAGTAGTACAGCAACCTAGAGAGTTTTAAAGAGCAGCAATAGTTAAACAAATTGTTACACTTTCAAACTCCAGGGCATTGCGATAAATTCTATTTCAGGTAGAGCAAGTCTCTGCCCTGTACCTACTTATTAAACCTCAGCTCCCTGTGCACATGCCTATACACACCTACAGCTTAGTAAGCAACTGCTACAGAGCCGTATCATCAGCCCTAAACCCTTGGCCTTGCTACACTAGTTACCCTCTCCCACAGAACCAGCCTCCCTCAGGTCAGTGGGGGTACAGTGAGAGTAACAGACAGCTCTTACTGGAAAAACTTCAGTCTCAGCTGACAATCCAGCAGAGTTCATTAGAGCCAAGAGTGAGACCGTTACTTTTGAGAATATACACATCTTAAAATAATGATTTTCAGAAGAAAACAAGATAATCAATACTGACTGGATGCTGGAATGACAAGGAATGAAGTGATCTTAATGACAGAAGTTAATCTGTCCAATTCCCGTCTTTGGGATCTACTACAATTTCCTTCTCTTTCCATTAGAAGTGACTGATAAGCAAGAACAAGTGAGTGATTTTTCTCCAGAGCACAAACAGTTCCTTGCAGCTTCACTATATTTTAGGCAGAGAACTATTTGGTTAGCTATGAAATTTGATTAAAACTTCCTGCATACCCCTAAGCCACTATCTCTTTAGGAGCAGTGTCCTAGTTTATTGGCCAGATGTTTCCCTTGCAAATGCAAAGGGTATCAAAGTTAAATAATCAAAAGCTTGTCTTCAGAAGAAAACAAATAGTTAAAGCCAGTGTTTGTTACAGAGCTGTTCTTACAGCATTTGTCTATATATAGCACTTACAGCCGTTACAGCTTTACAACATCCACAGGATAACCCACCCATCAACCTGGACAGAGTAGACTTTGCCAAAACAAAGTACTCACAGAATGAGATTATTGTTGGAGACTGAATCTTAACCAGCAGGATAATTCATACTTGCACTAATAACATTTCACAATACATTACGCAGCTACTGAACGCAATTGAAAGCAATGGATGTTTGTATTACCTCTGTGAAATCCATGGCATTAAAAAGGTACACACAGAGGCAAAAATCCTTACATACACCTACATAAGTCAAGCACTTACCTTTGTCCCATTGGGTTTATCAATTACAAACACTTCACTCCAAATCTGAATGCCAGTGGTTTCCCGTTCACATCCACCTCTCCATGTGAACCCAGTCAAGGGTTCAGTATTTCCACCTATCCAGCAAGGAGAAGTCTGCATAACAAGAAGAGAAACTTATTTAAAAGCAAGGAAGAGATGTAATTTTTTTTAACATGCTGCATTTTAGCAGATGTCCACACTATTCTCTCATTTTTCTCAGAGTCAATTGACAACACTATACAAAAAGTTAAAACCTAATGCTACCCTGCCACGTTTCAGGCATCGTCCACAGAGAAATGTTGTTCACGTCTACTGTATTTCAGCAATTGCACAGCTCTTCAGCCACTGAAGAGTGTATGTGCATGGTTTTCAAGTCTCAAGAACTCAGGACTAATGAGAACAGCTCAGTATTGTCCATCAATTTAACGTCATGGTCATGTTCTTGTCTCACAGTTGAGAGAACTTAAACACAGTTGTAAATAGCATGTATTTAACTACAGAACAGCTAAACCTCTGCAAGGAACAAAAAACCTAATCTTGACTTAATCCTCTCCCTTCCCCTCACAGACAGGTCAACTGCTGAAACCATTTAAACACCTAAGCCCCTGCACTGAGGCTAGCACAAGACTCCCAGTGCTGGCTTACAGGAACCAAAGAGAACAGGTAAGGATTGCAACATCTACAATCTATACTTGTCACAGTTACAAAATACCTTTTCCTAAGTGATTAGGACTCAAGAGAAAAGTCACATTTGGAGTCTGATACATGTCAATCAATTCATCTATATTAAAATTTTACAGGCACATTGCCCACACTGGAAAACGCTATCAGAGATTCAAGTACAGTTTGCAGCTAACACTTCTGCTGATGGTACCGTAACAAGGTCTTCGGTCCTCAAGGACAGGCAACACATGGAGCAGTGGCTCAAGCAGAAAAATCCAGCCATTATATGAGCACATTTGACCCAGAAATGTAGTTTATGTACTGGGCAAGTAAGGAGCATGAACAGACACCCTGAGGAAGTTTCACTGTGACAGGTTTGTATCTACTGAAATCCTACAAGAGGGAAGTGGTAGGCAGACAACAGTTTAACTGACGAGAGGGCTTAAAGAAAAACCTTTATTTTCCAGGCTAGAACAGAGCATGCTGGCAAAAGAGCAAGAGACATTGAATGCATTTGCCTCTGACTGCCCAGAGAGGATTACCAGCCAGGAAAGTGCACTCTTGGAGAAGGTCAAAGGGGAGACTTCTCAGTTCACCAGGCTGTAGTGTCTACCGTGCTGACTCTGCACAGGCAGCTTTCAGAAAAGAGCTCAGGAAACAGCATGAGCATCTAGAGGCTGTGCAGATTAGAAATACTTACTACAGATAAGTGAAACTGCTTCTTTCTAAAGCAGAATGGGGAAAACCTGCACACATTCCTTATGCCTAGCAGCACGCAGAGCAAACCATACTAAGGTAGAAAGGCATTCAAGCAGTTCTGCACTATAGCATTCTCCCAAATGCTAAGTGCACACTATTCAGCCCCGCTACTTGGATCACACAGAGCGAAAGTAAAAGAGATGATTGGATAGAAATTCAGAAAATGAACACAGGTATCCAAGTGAAGAAAACCACAGCTCTTTACAGGTAGGTTATTGCTGTTGGCTTTTTGTTTGCTTGTTTTTGGTGGGGGTTTTTTGTCACGCATGTACACCTCTACCAGAGAGGCTAAGCAAAACAGCTTTCCCCTGGAGTTTATCCCACAAGACGCTTATGCATCCACTGACCACTCTAGAAATCAAAGCTCCAGGCCTGCTCAGGGCTTCACTACACTGCAGGAAACAGTTTTGCACTGCTGAATCGTATTTCACAGGTATACGTCAATGGACTGTAGCTTTTCACTTTTTCAAAAGAATCTGTTACGACATTAAAAGACATGTTCCATTTGTCATGTACACAGCAATACTTTTACCAGTTTGGTCCAGAAATTATCCTTATTTGTAGCAGCTATGCAAACCTTTTGACAAGGCCCTCAATGAGCACTAGATATAACCATATTTGATTCATGTCACTTGAGACTCTGGTGCTTAACAGGCACAACTTCAGCTGAAGACACTTCACTTGCAGATAATACACTGAAGTCTGTTTCTGACTGAACCGTTGCATCAGCCTTAAGCACCCCTAGCTTGTTACCTCCATCTTTCCTTAGTTAAAACTCAGTATTTTACACAGTCTCCACTCATTAAGTTGGTTTGAAAGATACTCAAGAGATGGGAAGACAAAAAAAACACTTTGTTCCTACATGCAGTCAGGATAGAGGCTGCACTACAATTTTGTCTCAGACACATAAAAGACAACCTGTCTAAATACATTCCACACTTAGGAAAGGACCAATGCAGCATTATTTGCATAGTGCCATTAGTACACACAGCGCCTTGCAGATTAATACAAGCTAAGAAGGTCACACTCCTGTAAAAAAAGCTTTTAACTCTAAATTTACTAGTGTTACTGTACCCAACTCTTAATAAGGCTTAAACTGCAAAGCACACTTGCAGCAGCTTACTGAGTACAGAACTGCTGCTGGTTTGTGGCAGATTATTCTGTTCCATTTCAAATGGGCAAATATAACACTAAGTATCAGCGCTTGAAATAAGATGCCCACCTCCCTGACATTAGTGACCTATCTCAGTCATGCCTAAATCCTACCTATGACTTCAACTGGCACAAATAAGATCTTTAGAATGCTAACTTTTCACAGGACCTCCAGTTCTTGGTTTAAGACAAGAAAATGGAATTCTGAACTACCCTGGCAAGTTTTTCATCACGCATGTTAGTATCTACAGGGGAGGATATCCCAAAATTGCTTTATTACTGTACAAACTGAATGCAGATGCTTCAGTATTTTGTGCAGGATCCAGTATTTAGTTCAAAGAAAACACAGACTTGTAATTAAGCCTAACTAAAGATGAAGAACTCAAATTAAAGAGTACTACAGAACTATATCCTGGACTGAAATTTGCATGAGCATAGAGGATACCATTCAACTTGATACAACTCAGCAATGCTCAAAAGAGGAGGTGTTACACCTATCTTCTCTCATCCCCAACTCCATCAATCAGTTTGCAGCAGCTCTGATGCTTGTCAAGGACTTTCCCTAAGCCAGCTTACGTCACTGAGCCGGCAGGGAAACAATTCGGCAAAATGCAGTGTCTCCTGATGCATCATTGACTTGGATCAGCTCAGCTAAGGGCCTGCAAGCGTTACAGCTTCAGAATGCAAATGCCTGGCCAGAAGCAGCACATGGAGACCAAGACCTCTCTGCTTTTGCAAGAGATAGTTGTTACAGTAGATGGCCAAGTTTCCCTTCATCTTCAGTTTAAATGAAACAAATGGTGTTTGGTATTTTGAAGGACACCTATTGAAAACTGAAAACAGGGATTGCACAACAGAGAGGTATGACATTATACAAGGCTAAAACCTTTTTCAATCCATTTTGCTTCATGAACTTTTGTTTCATTTTACAATCTGAAAGTTGAGAGTATTTGCTTAAAGACGACCCCTTCTATTTCTGGAAGGAACTAGCACTATCACTACCCAGCCACCACCTAGCTTAGATTGCTATACTTCTGCGAATTTGGGAGTTTGGTTTGGTTTTGGTTTGCTTGGGCTTTTGGACTTTTTTTGTTTTGCTTTGAATATGAACAGGACACTACAGAGGGTTTATATATACACACAAAAGGACACCCACTGAACAGCTCTATCAGTGAAATGTTTATTCCTCCCCAGGTTAGACAAGTCTGAAGTTGGGAGCACCAGCTTGCTATTCTGTATTCCTCCTACTGCATCCTCAGTGTCTTTCTTACAGAGCTCTTGGCAAATCAGTGAGAGGAATTCAATAGCAGGCACTACTGGCAGTGAGAGAAAGGAAGTCTTCATCTGCCAACTACCAGCAGCTCCTTTGCAATATTCCCAGACTTCCTCTAACTGCAGGGCTCATCTTGATTTCTCCTCAAGCTAGTTAACACAAAGGTAAGACAGATGCAGTTATGGTAAGTTTCTGCTACCATGAATTCCAAAGAACAGCGACCCAGAAAAAAACAGAACTGATTCTTTTCAAGAGCTTCAAAAAAAGCAAGAAAGACACTGAATTGTCAAGTCACTACATGAAAAAGAAACATACCACAATCTCTGACAGGCAGATGTGTATATTCACAGGAGGTGCTAACCCACCTTCTCTGTAATCAGTCAAGAGTTCAAAGTATAGTAAGACACAGAAACACCAGCCAAAAGTTACAAACTAAAGAAATTAAATTTTGGATCAGGCATTCATTAACCAGTGACTTAAAAGGATTTTAAAAGTTCCTGGATTATGAGAAAACTAACACCAGAGGCAATGTAGGC